TGTTCCCATTTCCCCCATGGGATGCTGGCTTTGGCAGAGGAAAGAAAACTGATGAAAATCAAGAGGTAGCTTGAAAAATTCCTGTTGGTGTCAACCAGGTAAGATGAGCAGCAAAGCTGAGGTTCAGTGCTGACCAACTAAAGGGGGGTGTTGGGGTGAATTGGGACAGTGTGTCATACTCTAAACTTTCAAAAAGTTGAAAATAAGCTGCTGCATGTTCTTGATGTTAATGATTTACCTTGGGCAGTAGTTGCAATGTGTACAAGCAAAACTTTCAGGTTTTTCAGAATTCAGTGTGAAACTGCTAAGTCTAAAATACTTTGTGATTATTTTCACTTTCCTATTGGTTTTATTGAATGCAAGTTGTCTTTCCATAAATTGATAGTGCCTTTTAACTTCTCTCCCATCCAGCAGTGCATGTGTTTGTGTTTGGGAGGCAGAGCCATAGCTGAAAGCATATCAGATGGCAGAATTATAATAAAAAGGTGGGGTTTTTTGGTCAGTAGAGGGTGAAATTCTTGAATAGTTTTCCATGGAAAATGAGAACTTCAGCAGTTCATTCTTGTGATTTTTTTTTTTTTTTCTCTTTCTTCCTAATAGCTGACAAGTCTGACTTAGGTACTGGCTCAATTAGAACTGTGTAATAAAACCCTGGACAAATTCTTTTGTCTTTTGTGAGGCTATGCCTCAGACTGTCTAAGCAGAGATGAAGTGATGTGTACTTAAGGTATGGTTTGAGGTGTTTCACTCCAGGGTTTATGCAAAGATTGCCTGCAACAGCAGTTGCCTGTCTTGCTTTGTGTTTGGTTTCAGCAAGTGAGAAGATAAAGGTGTATCCAGTGTTCCTCCAACATGCCAAGCTATTCTGTTCTCAGTGGCACTGTACTTCAGAACAGGAAGAGAATATGCAAGGAATGAGATTGGACCTTATGTTTTCATTGTGTAACTTGCCAAGAAGAGAAATATGTGTGTGGAGGAGGCTTAAGACAGTGAATATCTGTAGCATCTGGGTGAAATTATGAACAATAAAATAACTCCCAGCTGGAATTTCATGAGCAGCTAAACAGTGTCCTTCTAGGGCATGCTGAATGAAAAGGGCATGTCTAAAGTAAAGCATGCTCACACAGGGAAAGTCCCCACAGTCTGGCATGAAGCCAGGTGCATATACTGAATTAGGTCAGTGCCTTAAATGTGAATGTTTCCCCACTTCAGAAAGATGCACTTGTCCTTTACAACAAGGAACAAAAACAGAATGCTAATATAATTTTTAAAAATGTAAAGCATTATCAATTAGCATGCTGGTCTATTCCCTTGTGCTTAGAGAATCAATGAATTTTTTGTAAGGAACAGAAACATTTCCGTTGTTGAATATACAGAAGCCCCTGGAAATGCAGAAAGAATTAGTAACCAAGTGCCTCTGGAAAACCTGCAGATCTTTTTAAGACTTGTATAAGCCTCACATGTCTCATTCTTTGGAGATCGTACAGACTACTGCTAATATACTAGTTCTGAAGAACTGGTAGGCAGTTAAATACCAGCATGCAATATCAGGTGCAATTTAAAGTTTTGGAACTTAATCTTTAAGCACTGAAATTCCAGGGACTTCTTTATGATCACTAATTATCAGATAATCTTACTGTCCCTTTTTATAAGCTTCAGAATGTTCCATGTAACCCAGTTAGTTTCCCTATTGTGATTTTTGGGATCCCATGTGCTTTTGCTTGTTCTGGGATTTCACAGCCTGCTTTCTCTTGTAATCATGTTCTACAGCCTAGTTCATCCTGGAATTCCTAAAGTAGGGCTGTGCCAGACCAAATTCATATCAAATTTGGGTTGTAAATATGCAAAATAAGGGCTTCTTCCCCCGCCACTTTTCTGAAAAGAGAGAATAGTGAAATAGAGTACTCATAAGCTCTCCTTTTCCAGTGGGAAAAATGGAAGGGAGATTCTTACGCTTTCACCTTTCACTTTACTCTGTGAAGTATTCAAAATGAAATGTGTCTTACTCTTTTATGATGACTTCCCTCAGCAGCAGTAGTATTGAAGGAAAAAGAAAAATATGTCAATTGGCTCAGTTCCCACTGCTTTAGCAAACTAACTTACCCATTCAGCTCTCCATATGCAATTTAAAATTTTAATGTTCGACGTAAGTGGTTGCACAAACATTCCTGGCCTTTAAAGGCCACGGTGGAGCTCTAGTGGGAAAAACGTCTGCTCTTTATGGTGAAAAAATGGTCAAACACAAATGGGCAATGCCTGTCTCTGTACAGGGCTGTCTTGTTAATAGAATTGTCACTAGCCCATAGATGAAGGGTTTCAGATAATGAAGGAATAATTAGAGCCCAGAAGGAACAGTACCAGTGAGCTGGTGTGGCTCTCACTGCTTCAGGAGTGGGTTATTGCATCTCTTCCCTGAGCACCCCTCAGGCCAGTGCTCCGCAGACAGCCGTGTGCTGTGAATAGGTGAAGGGCTGGTGGGAAGGGCCGGGAATCTGCAGATGTCCAGCAGCGAGTCCCCGCGGGCTGTGGTGGCTTCCCTGATCCATGCTTGCCATTATGATGTCTGTTCCGCCACAGTGAGGAAAGGTAGGAAGAGCAAGGGTTCTCTCAGTGCCCCCTGCTCTTCTCTGAGGGGATCTCAGTCTCCTGGTACATTGTGTCCTCTTGGCACCACATCAGGAAATCTGTTCTCCCTTGCTTCTAAGACAGGAATGAGACCTGAAGGAACTTAGGGACTCATCAAAGTTGAGGACAGGGCAGTTTATTGGTGCAGCAAGAATTGACTACAAAAGCCTACTAGAACTAATGCTCCATCTTCAGGGGTATTGATTTGTGAGTTAACAACAATTAGACTAGTTGGGGCTTGATTTACTGATATTTTATGCAAGTTAGATTTAGATAGTTGAATCGTTTTTCAACATGCCTTTACTGATTGAAGATGTGTCAGCTTCTGCATGGAGTAACTTCACTGAGGTTTATAGAAACTTATGGTTCTTTATGCTGTTAATTGTGGCTTCGCCTCTTGCAGTCTAACAGAACAAGAATTCAGTAAGAAATGTAAAAAAGCATCATATGGTCATCTTTGTACTAAAGAAAGCTTGGGATGATATGGTATCATTTCTGTGAACTGGTTTTATCCTGTAGAATTTTTCTTCTGTCTCCCTTGATTCATCACGTCTGGACACTGGTCAGTAGTCTGAGGATGCATCTGGAGTTGATCACTCTTTATAGACATTCAATAAGCATTTATATAATACTGTGTTTATGCAGTGAGGAGTGACTAAATTTTGGCTTGTCTGAACTTGAAAGGATGTTATCTAGTATTCAGTTGATAAAAGTGTTACTTCTTTTGTATCAGAATCTCCAGTAGCTTTCCATGTGTTCCAGAAACTTCAGTTTCAGATGAGTAATTGTCTTCAATCTGCTGTATTAATAATTTCTACATAACCTGTGTAAATTATTTATTAACAGGGACTTTAGCACTATAAATACTAAAAACTGCTTTGAGCACTCCTATAGACTTCAGCTGGACAACTCTAAGGTGTGCAACTCTTGCCAAACCTGGTGTGGATGATACACCTGCAAACTTTGTGTGGCTGTGGCAGGCATTGCTGCTGGTGGCATGAATAAGTCACTTAGTCTTTCAGGCCTTGCAGTTGGAGCTTTCTTGCAAGTGAAGATGCTGAATATGACACCACCACTGATCAGGGTACCTGATTCGCACTGGAGCAGTATCAGGATCCTGCTGCTGCAAGCTGAGTGGGAAGGGAGGAGTGTCACAAAGACACAATCGGGGAGACGCAGTGCCAGGGGTTTGCTGTAAACACATGGGAGCATTGTGGCACCCTGACTGACACGAAGGGTCAGCACAGGGTGGGCTGGGTGGCAGCTGGCAGTGTCTGTCTAGCCCATGTAGGAATATGGGAGTGAGCCATTTTTTTTAGTCTCCTAAGGATAGTGAAACTAAACTGGGAGTCTCAGAACTTCCCCCAAACCATAATTGCATAACGCAGTCAAAATGGATGTAGAGTTAATAGGTCCCTGGATAAATTTTAATGAGCTTCGCTTATTTTATACAAGCAAATTTTAAATGAATTTAAATTTTATTAATGTTGAAAGTAGACTAACATGCATTGAGCTTACTTCCTAGTCTTTTATGCTGTCATTGAGGAGGCCCATAAAACATTTAGCTGACTCTCAGTGCTGAGTAGGACTTTTGGTATCCCCCCCTCTTCCATAACTGTGGGCTGTTTCTTGGTCTTTCCTTCTAGGCTGGTTTGGTCAGTCAAGTAAGAGTGTGACCCATGCAAATGGTCACTGCCTCTTCATGCTAGCCTAACCATATCAGAAGATGGAAATATTAGCAGATGGCTAATCTCAGGATCCCTTTCATCAATCAGGGATTGGCATTTGAATTTTAATTTCTTTTGAATTAGACTTGATCTGAAATGCAGTTTCTGTAAACTTTGATATTTAAATCTGTAATAATTTATTCATGAGTGAACAGTTATACCCTGAAAGGTATTTACTTAAAGTAAAAGCAAATGAAATTGCAAGCTTCTGCTGCTTCAAAATAGTTCATCGATTTTTTTTTTAAATTTTTTTTTTTTTTAGTTTAGAGGAGTAGGAAAGGCATGGGGTTTGTTGATACCTTTTTTCCCTCCCACAGAGTAAAACAAAACAAAAACCTATGAAGGAATGGGGGAGTTAAAACAAATGTGAAATAAACCACGGTGAGATGAGAAGAACTGTTACTGCTTTGGGTAGCTGTGTGACAAATGCATTCTATTGGACTGTCCATATTACTATTTTCCAGGCGCTGTGTCAGAGGGAGCTGCTGATGGGCAATGCAAAAGAAAGAAATGCTTTGTCTTTCTCCCTTTATCACTCCTTCCACCAGCAGTCTTTTTTTTGCATGCATGTGTTAGAACTTTGTTCATGTGTTTCTCAAATGACTGTCTGCTTTGTAGTTCTAATATGCTCCTTTCTTTTAATTTTAGGTTCTGTCTTCGGTTTGCTGACTCAAACCACAGATTCCAAGGAAAGGAGGGGAAGTGGAATAAAATACTCAAGTGCCAGAGGAAAAGCAAGACTAGCCAATGAAAATTACTATTACTAAACTGTAGATTGCTCTCACACATAGTGGGGGGGAAAATATTGCTGTCTGTTCAAAGCTTACAAAATTACTTTTGCAGATTTCCTTCACAAAACTTCAAATAAGCTAGGCCCCTTCAACTAGGGCTGAATTAGGAAATGGAAATATGATTCCTTGCTGGTGTCTTCCATCTTCCTCTGCCTTTGCAGTTTTTTTTTGTTTGGGGTAGGAAATCCTGAACAAATTGTATGGCGTCAGCCAGACTTACAGTTGATGGTTATGGATGACACAGGAACTTCAGATTTACATCTCTTCAATGACACTTGATTAAAGCAAAGCTTGAAAAGTGCTCATCTGCTATGTTACCAGAACTTGTAGTAGCTATTACAGTTGTGTTTTCTCTCTAAGATTTGAAATCTGGGGTGATGTCCCCTGGAAAGCAAGAGCAGATAAGTCATCTTTTAGGATTGGAAACAGAAATAATATAAGAATGCCCAGAAGAGGCTTTGTAATTCAAGCCAGGACTCGTTGGCTATTGGTGGGCCTTGCTTTACTATTCAGTTTAGTTTTGCTCATGTATTTGCTGGAGTGTGCTCCACAAACAGATGGCAATGGATCTCTGCCTGGTGTCGTAGGTGAAAGCATGGGTAAAGAATACTATCAAGCTCTCTTGCAGGAACAAGAAGAGCATTATCAAAACCGAGCTACCAGTCTGAAACGTCAGATTGCCCAGCTAAAGCAAGAGCTTCAGGAAATGAGTGACAAATTGAAGTCCCTGCAGGAAAAAAAAACCCCAAAGGTCAATGGTATGAACTACCAGGGCACCAAAGAACAAACATCCAATGATCTCCTAGAGTTTCTTCATTCCCAGATTGACAAAGCTGAGGTGAGCGTTGGGGCCAAACTGCCTAGTGAGTATGGAGTCATTCCTTTTGAAAGCTTTACATCCATGAAAGTGTTCCAGTTGGAGATGGGGCTCACTCGGCATCCAGAAGAGAAACCCGTTAGAAAAGATAAACGAGATGAACTGGTGGAAGTTATTGAGGCTGGCCTAGAAGTTATCAATAATCCAGATGAAGAAGATGGACAAGATGAAGATGATGGAGTAGGAGACAGGCAGCTGTATAGTGAAAATGATTTTATCGAAGGTATGTTTACGTGCTTCCCAGCCCCTTAGCAGAATGTCACAACAGGCATTTAATGGGGTTTGTATTTTTAGGTGTCCTGATTAGACCTTTCATGGTCATTATCAAAAACTGCCCTAGTACCTCTTTTTCGTACCTACAGTAATAAATACCGTTCTTGCTGCCATTAAAGACCAAAAGGTGGACCATGTTATAAGACCATTACTGTAGAAGGGATTCTGAAGTAAGTACTGATGTCTGTATTATTAAGCAAACATGCTGGAGAAAGGTACCACTGGCCTTGAAATAATGGGTTCTTTCAGTCTCAGATGATGTAATTGGCCTGTAGTTCAAAAAGTCTCTGCTTTTAACAGCTACTATGTTTAAAGTTTGATGCAAGTACTCTTCTTCATTCCAGAAGGTGGTACAGGCCATGGAATCCACTCAACTGGGTCAATGCAATACAGCCTGTGTTAGGCTCTTAGCACAGTTCTCATTTAAAACCCTATTATTTTTCCCAGGGGTTATCATTCTTGGGCTTTCTTTCTACATTAAGTATTCAGCTGCTTTTCCATTGCTGTTTTAGATATTGATTATGCTCACGTGGATTTTTATTTTACCGTGACTGAAATAGCTATTGATTTTTTTAGTGTAATGCCTTTAATGACAGACATTCAAGCAAGCAAGTAGTTTAGGACCTTAGAATTCATACCTATTCATACCTCTGCCTCTGTTCACACCAGTGTTTGTTTTTGGAAATAAAACTAATTTCCTTTTGGTGTAAAGACAGGAGCTTCAAACACAGGGTTACGGGAACTATAGGGAAAGACAAGTCTTTTATGCTGCATATGGGTGTGTTAGCAACCAGCTGTAGCGTTATCTACATTGATTAGTATCTTTCTTCAGATAGAAGTTGTGGGTTGTGTGGGTATTCTGTGGGTTTTTTATGTGCAAATACTACTGGCGAATTCAGCCAGCAAAAAGGCATCTTATGAATGTTAGCATTTCTTTCCCCACCCCTGGTTTTCCAGAAGTCAGAGGTAAGAAGCAGACCCAGCCAGTGTTGGTACACACAGGTCCCTTGCCCTGCAGCTCTGTAAACAGGCTCTAGCACTCTGCCTCCTCTGCCTGTGCATCCCCATTTGATGGAAGTCCAGTTGGAAAGCTGATGCCATTCTGTTTATAAAATACTACACCCTTAAGCTGTCCTAAACTGGTAGGATCAAATTGCATAGCAGACTTGGTGTATCAGCTGAAGTCAGAACAGGTCCTGTAACTGTCCTAAGATACATCAAAATTGTTGCTGGATTAGTGTTGCTCATTTAGAGAAACGGATTTTTCTTAGCTGACTTCAGATGAAGCAAATAATTTAAGTTCTACATCCTCTTCGGTTGGTAATTATTTTGTAATAAGTGGTTTGTGCCTAAAACTTCAGTATTGTGCAATTTGAAACTGGAGGCTGAGAAACTTGGTATGTGGTTTCACTTCTAGGACAAAAGAGAAGACAGGGTACTGCATTAGTTAATACATAACCATCACGTTTTATGCTCAGTATAGATAAGCTGATTTTATCTTCTGACTTGCAGGATTTTTTTCTCAAAACTACTGCATATCTATATACAAAAACTTACCTACAAAACTGTGCTACAAGAAATTTTTATTCTGAAGTCTTCTAGCCTGTTACCTCAACAGACTATTATTATATAGGTCAGTATTTGGTTCTGGGAATTATATCTGCTTTTTTTCTAGACTTGTAGAATAGTAGACTAAACTTTGAACCATGTAATTTTTTGTGATATTTACTTTCAGGTACTCTCTCCTTAGAGAATTTGGTGACTGTTTAAGTAAGTTTAGAATATAATTTCTTATAGACAGTCTTAGTTAATGTTGTCTTTTAATGTCTGCTGAATATGTCTGAAGTTCTGTCCCAGCATTTATGTTGCCTCTGATGCTCAGTCAGTTAAGTATTATTGCCTTCATTTGAAAATAAATCAAGAATTTTTTTTTCTTACTGTATTTTAGGATTAATCTATATTGGAGTAATCTGAGACAACTAATAGTAATAACTTGAATTTAAAATTGATCTGCTTTCTATTTCAAAAATAGGAATTTCCTAAATAAATTTTTCTGTAAAAGTACACTCAATTAGCTGATAATACTTGTGGTAGTCTGAATCTATTGATTTTTATTACTCTTAATACTGGGCAGGCCAAAAAAGTTCCAAATGCATACTGATGGATGCCAACTTTCTTGTTGCCACTCTACATTTTTGCTCTGTATCCTCAGTTTAAGTGTTCATGCAGATGCCTTGCTGCATGCTCAGCCTCTGTGGGCTCTGCATGAAAGTGTTCTGTCTTCTAGCAGTGGTGCAAGGAAGTTGTATCCACAACAGGGAGCACTCTGGACAAGTGTTTCCTGAACTCATGTTATTTTTTTAATGTTGCAAGACAAACTGATGATCCAGATCTGCTTTGGAATTCTGATAAGGCAGATCTGTCACAGCCACATCATGGTTATGTGCAGGCTTTGAGCAATAGCACTAAGTAAAAAAAAACCATATATATATTTCTAACTGTATATTACAACTACAAAGATACTTCCTGAAAATTTCAAATTACTTTTCACAAAGCTCAGTTGATTTGTTCTGTTGATGAAGAGAAAACCAGCAAATTTCTCAGCTCTGTTGTCTGTGCCTGTTTTCCTTTGTAGCAACCCATAATGAAATTTCCAGAATTCTAATATTAACAGAACAAAAATCTGACCTGAAAAAAGTCTCGTTATGCAGTTACTGTTTGAGAAACCCTTTGAAGTTTTTTTTTTCCTTAGTGTTTACATTAGATCTAAGTGTATGAGAAACAAGAGTATCCTATTCCCCGTGGATGAAGACTATCCCTAGACAGGATAAAAGATGCAATTTTATATTTTATATATATTTTATATTTTTCACAAGGGAATGGATTTAGGATTATGAGCAATGGACCTAGTTGCAGAACTGCATGTTCTAGATAGTCCTCCATTAAGAATAGATTTCTTTGGTATTTGATAATATTGAGAAATGGAGAGTAATTCAGAGATCATAGTATTACCTCTGTCTGTTCCCTTTCTCCAGAGTGTGTGACATTGAGTCTTGAATGGTGATAGAGAAGTTTTGAGGAGCCTTCATGGACACACTTCACCATAAGTGTAACTGGCTTATTTGAGTTTACATTTATCAGTGTAATTGGCTTTTTTAATCAAGAGATTACAAGCTCTTCCATTGCACAAACATTTAAAATTAGCTGCTGGAAAATAGAAGCACTAGCATGCTTTCAGAAGTTAATGAGCAATTAGCTGATCACTAATAAAGGTCTTGTTATTGAATGTCTAGCAGTGTTGTTTGGGTCATATCTCTTTCTTCTATGCTTCCAATTGGAACCGGGCAAAGTCATCAAAAAAGGAAGACTCCCCACCCATCCTTGAAATGTAAAATTCCTTTATTCCTGTGCTGCAAGCTTCCAAGTGCTTGCCATCCATAGAACAGCGTGGGCTGTTTTTCATGCTAACAGCCCCTGCCTGTGTGCTGGTTAAGGCCAGCTTCAGTGGAGAACTCTTAATACACACAAAAAACCAGATCCTACATCTTCAATCCATAGACCAAACACTTCCTGGTAGTTGTAAAGCAAGTAATATTCAAGGCAATAGAAGAGCAGCTTTTTGGCTTTGATAGTAATTGATACCCAGGATTCATGTTTCATTTGTTTGCTGAGAAGCAGAACTTCTGCAAAGGGAGTAAAGCTTCATGGACCAGGAATAGCAGCTGTTAAATTATTTCTGCTTCTTTTTACCTCTTTGCTTGTGGAGTTCTCTTTTGGATGGCAGCCAGTGTATGCTAGTTGGAAGGTGAGATAACAGGTTTTATTAAATGAGTCAGTTCCAAGTGATAAAAAGCTGAGTACGCTAAGAAGTAAACCAGATATGGGTTCTTTTTCTGGCTGTTCTCAAATCTGGCTTCTGTGTATAGAAACTTTAGTCCCATAAAAGTATTCAAATTAGCAGATTAGCAAGAGAAGCTAATAACTCTAGGAGTGCATACTATTTAAAAGAAATGTGGTGCTAGTAGCATGATGAGATTCAAAAGTTTGGAATCTTGTATTTCAGCAATTGAATGTTGGCTAGGCATTATTCGGATTTTAATTTGCATATAAAGGTCTTTATGAAGTTGCAGCAGTTTTGCTTTAGTTTAATTTTTTTAAAATTAGTTAAGTAATTTTTGCTCTGTATTTCAGCCTTCTGTTGGACTGACATCTAAGCTTATAGCTTGATTTAAGATACGATATTGGCAGCTGGTGTGCTTTTTAAAAACTTCACTTATGTTTCATGTGTTATGCAAATTGTATTTTTGTCTGTAAACAGCTATTGGATAGCAGACAAAATAATAAAATATAAAATACTGAATGTTAATTTTGCCAGGAGCCCTGGTACAAAGTATTTGCTGTCTATTGTTCTAGCACCATGGTGCATCAGCTACTCCATTAACCAAGATGCTGTTTTCAAGCTACAGTGCTGGACTGCAGCACAAAGGGTTGGAATGGAAAATGGTTGAGAGGGATTTTAAATCTTGTGCTGCTTCTGGCAGTCAGCATTGTGAGCTTTCATTGTTTGGAACACCATTTTCAGTGCTTGTAATTAATAATTATTTGAAAATGAGCATTAAAATGTGGTGCATATTTACGCACCTCTGTGCTGACAAAAGCATAAATGTGGATTTCAGTCCTTTCAAGGAGAGCACTGCAGAACTTTGTTCAAAGGGTAAAAGCCTCTCAGTTGAGAGGTTCAGTCATCACTGAGTTCCAGTGTGATGAACCAGCTTGTTCTGCTACACCATGTGTCCCACAGCCCCTCTGTGGTGGTCATCCACATCTCCCATTGGGTCTGCCAATGCATGTGCTTGTCCACAAGACAGGATGGATTACGGAGCTGACATGGGAGGGGTGCAAGGAGCTTGCTGTAAAAGAGAGACTGCTGGGCAGAAGGAGGAGCATCAGTGAATGAAACTGGCAGATGGAGGCTGGAGCAGAGGAACACAGAGGAAGATTTAGGGAAAAGATTCTTTCTTTGTAAATGGAATCTGGGATATAGAGAAAGAAGTTAGGTCAAGGTGGTGTGCACATTCCTCTGCTTCTTGTATTGAAAGGGAAGGGAACATGGAGAATATTTGCCTGGGCATAGGGAGAGACACAAAATTCTCTCATCCCTTCTTTCTTGTTCCTGTGACAGTCAAACCCAAGTTGCCCTAGGGCTGAGAGCTGCTTCCTTTGCATACTTGGTCTGGTGTTGAATTCAGTTGCAATAAAAGACAACCAACAGGACAATATCAATGCTGGGTGCAAAAGAGGACCTTCTGTGTCACCAGTATGGCTTGTCTGCTCTGTGGCCTGCCACCAGCTGCTTTCTGGGTGGGAGGCCTGGGAGGGATTTCAGCTGCTGAGGAGACTGGCTTGGAGAAGGGATGGTTAAGGGCAGCCAGGTAAAAGGAAATGCATAATGTTAGGGCAGGGGTGTGCATCACACTTGGAAATATGCAGCTCTTTGTAGCTTTCTCTGTGGTCTGGGTGGCCACTTAACTGGAATGTAATGCCAGTTCATGGTATAACTTTTGGTTCTTCTGGATAATATATCTTTTCCTTGCTGGTAAGAGGAAAGCAGAGATGGGATGAACATAAAGAATTTTTGTTGGAGGATTGTTTCTGTCATCATTTCTTACTCTCAGGTTAGCATAGACATGGAATTAGCAACACCGAGCTTAGTAGGGTCAAAACCACAGATGAGCCTCAGTCTTTTCCTATGTGGTGTAAAATTAATCTGTTGGTTTAACTTCCTTCTTTGATGGTCCTTAAGCTAAAGGATCTTGTTCTGAAAGATTTTTTTCCACATATTAGGGGTAAACTATGTTCAACAGATAGTCCTGTTTCTGGATTGAGTAGGACTTTTGTCCTGAAGTATGACAGCCACATAGAAAACTTCTGCCTATGTCCTTAGAAGACTATGGGTGTAGTAAAATTCCACTAATTTATGAGATAGAAAGCATTAACTACTAGTCAGCAGTGAAAACAATTTAAAAGCATTCCAACATTATCACACAGTTGTTTTGTTTAGATGCTACATGTCAGATTTTGCAGACTTTGTCAAGCAAGTTACTGTCATTTGTTCTGCTCCCAGAACAAATTGTACTTTTCTTGTGGTGATTACTGGCCAGATGATCTCAGATTTTACTGTGGGCTAGCTCAGGGGTAGATTCTTACTGAAGGGCTTAAGAGCAGGCAATATTAGGTTTCACCCATCCTTTTTCTTAGCAAGTAGCTGAATTCCCTTTTAGTTGGGAAGACCCACCTCCAATTGAGAAATTGGCGTGGGACCATGAGACCTGTTGTCTCTAAGAAGCAAGGGAAGCTGGAGTTCACTTGGGATTGTTTCTCAGGTCTGACCTAAAATGGTAGAAGGGTGAACTGTGATCAATAACAGTTTGTGGAAGTTTCATCTAGTTTTAGGAGAAGCCCAGAAGCTTTGCCCTCACGTCTTTAGTTCTAAGGAAAACCAGTGTGTCTGAAGTAAAACTGCTGGGATCTTTGACTTTACATATTACTTGTGTGACTTATTCTTCAGGTTACTATCGTACAGAAAGAGATAAGGGGACACAGTATGAGCTGTTTTATAAGAAGATGGATGGCATGGAGTACAGGCATGTCACCTTGTTCCGACCTTTTGGACCCCTCATGAAAGTGAAGAGTGAAACAGTCGATATTTCTAGATCGATCATTAACGTTATTGTTCCTCTTGCTGGAAGAACTGAGGCATTTGCACAATTTATGCAAAACTTTAGGTAGGTGCATGAGATTATATAGTGAGCTATGTTCCTGATTTTCAGTATTTTGTTTTCTTTTCAAAATAAATTCCTATTCTGGTTGAATTGCAACAGAGCTAATGATTCCAACATTGTGTGCAACTGCCTTGGAATGTTTGTAATTGAACCTGCTGTATGGAGAAAACATTCCTTCTAAAAGGGCTTAAGAGATTCTTGAATTGCAGCAAAATGGCCAAATTCAGGGTCATTGTGAACCTGGACACAGATGATCTTGAACGTAATTTTTGTATTACATCAGTTGTAGATTGCCTGTTTATAAAATAAGTTATTGGAATGTGACACACGGTATTGGAACCTTCTGATGTAAATGGGCAAGATGGGGAAAGAGGAGGGGAAAGCATCTTTTCTTGTTTTCTTCAAAGCCATTTGATGACTAACCAGAATACTTCAATCTGCTAATTCTTTTTAATGCAGTAGCTTTTAAATGCCTGAAGTTTTTTGTTGCAAGTAATTACTAATATTAGCATATCTTTGTGCTTATAGGGATGTGTGCATTCATCAGGATAAGCGTGTTCACCTCACAGTGGTGTACTTTGGACAAGATGGTCTGTCAGAAGTAAAAAGCATCCTAGAATCTGTAGCTAGGTAAGTGTATCAATCCAACATCAGTCAGTAAAACCAATATTGATTGGCATTTTAAACAGCTTTTAAAAAAGAATGAAGAAATAAACAAGGTAAAGTTTATACTCCATTACAGGTTACTAGAAAACTTATTATTTATTTACTGTACTCTATTTATGGTTGCCATTTTACAGTTTAGGTTGGAAAAGTTTCCTGAAGACTACTAAAAATTAAGTTATAGCCAGAAAAGACTTTGAGGTTTCTATCTGACAGTCCAAATAACAACAGGGGTGAGTTTTGCAGTGGATATTCAGCAAGTTCTTTGGAACAGGGATGTACATTTTAATAGTTATCTCACTGGAGAAACAATTTTATTTAATGATAAGGAAGAGAAATGTAGTAGTCAAAGTAGGTCTGTACTTACTGTCAGCTGTAAAATAATTTTAAGCACAGTTCCTTGTGCTGTCTCAGCATTACATCAGTATGGATGTAAAATTCACGAGTGTTTCATTTATGGTTTTTGTTCCAGAGAGATGGGACAGGTGTCAGCATCCTTTACCCTATAGCCAAGGGGCTTCTTTACCACCTGAGCTCTAGCACTCATCCCTGAGCTGGGAGCCTATTTTCCTTGAGCTCTTCCTTGGGCTCCTGTCTCACTGTGCTGGCCAGGCTCCTCTCCATGACATAGAGCAGACACAGCTTGAAGCATCTGATGGAGGGCTGGCCTGACATGTTAAGGGTATCTTGTAGGAGGGGAGAACAGAATGTCTGCATTTTTTGCTACAGTCTTCCTAGCACCTGCTGTGTGTTGTACCCCTCAATTTTTGAGGCCTTTGCAGCCTGCCCTGCTCCCTGTGAGATGTCCCTCAGAGCACTGAGTCAGTGCTGCAGGCTCACTGAGCATTTGCCTGCTTCTGTATCTTTATAGTGGTGCTACTGTTGAATATTGTCACTCTGTTCTCTTCAAGCATTGTCCTCTGAAGTGTCTCTGAAGTAGACACTTAACTTTGCTTGAAGATGTTCTCTGAGTCTGTTTCCAGTCTCTTGGCTGCTCCTTCCCTCTTCTGCTGTGAGTACAGGCATGTGTGCTAGTGGGAAACAGCGAGAAGAAGCAAAGGCCTGGGATATGGTGGCACTACCACACAGACAGCCTTTGCCCCATGATTCTGGTGATGCCAGCACTCTGGCTTCTTGTTTGCCCTCTTCTCTGAACTGGTAAAGACACAGATATTTCTGTTGGTCAGGACTTCTTGGTTTGTGGGAACAAATTTTAGATGCCATTGTAATTCAGGAGAGCATTTTAATTCATGTCAGTTAACAAAAAGCATTTTAATCTGTCTGAATGATTTAACATGAAGTTATAAAGTAAGACAGATTTCTATCATTTTACAAGGTTTAAAATAGACAACTAAGTGTAACATCTTTTTTTTTTTTTTCATTCTGATCATATAACTGTTTTCCTTTCGAAATTTCTGGAATGAAATTCCTGTACAATGCTAAAAAAACTATAAATGCCCCTCCCCACATATTTATTTTGGGTTTGGCTCTGTTTTTCTTCTAGAGAAACTGACTTCCACAATTACACGCTTGTCTCTCTGAATGAGGAATTCAACCGGGGCCGAGGACTTGACATGGGTGCCAGAGCCTGGGAAAAGGGCGAGGTCCTGATGTTCTTCTGTGATGTTGATGTTTATTTCACAGCCGAATTCCTCAACAGCTGTCGCTTAAATGCTGAGCCCGGTATGTTCCCTTAGTGTTGCTGGAACGAAGCCTTGTCACCCTGCTTGACTTCAACTGACCTGTGCTGAGCATGTAGAAAACAAGGAAAACTCAACTAGAATGGTGGGACTTACTCAGTACCACACACCCTGGAAAACTAATCACACTGCACAAAAGGCAATAATAGTTAGACAGATTTCTCTGCCTTAGTGTAGCTTGTTTTAAGAATACATAGGCTTTTTTGTACAATGTACAATTTTCATGTTTTCTTCAGATTTAGTTGTCTCCAAGAAAGCTGGACAATTTAATTGCTTTAACAATTAGACTTGATGTAAATCTGTATAACAAAACTCATTGTAATTCTCTACAGTGGAAGATGATTTTTGTTATGCTGAAGTCTCTAAAAAGTTTGGCTTATCTCTTCTCACACGTGGCCAAGACATATCACAAAGGAATGGTTTTCAGTATAGCTACAGCATGCTCCTTGTGGAGACTGAGCTCTGAAATATTGATAGTTTTTCTTAAGTTTGTATGACACTTGCTTGTTCTACAAGCTTTTGCCAAGAAGGGTAAAGCTTTCTTGAGTTAACAAGCATGCTACTGAAGACCTTCTCCTGTCAAACTGTTTGGGTTCTTTTTTTAATGCTTACTCTTGTTTCAAATTTGTTGCAGTCTGAAACCATTTTCTCCAAATGTTAATTTGGAATCAACAGATGTTTTTTTTTTCACCTAACAAGCAGGCAAGAAAATTCTCCAGAAGCCAGATATTTGGGTCCTGTTTCTTGCTTTTTCTTTCATTTCTCTCTGTCTCTGTACTTCATGGAACAAGTTGTATAAATAATTGAAAACATTTTGGAGAGGAGTATTTTGTGAGCTTTAACGAGAAAGAGAATTCAAGAGATGCAGAGGCTGCTTGAAATTCATACTGGCAGTTTGTCACCTTTGTTTCAAATGAGATCTGAAAATGCTGCTCACTCCTCCAGAGTTCATGCCCAAGTCAGGATAGTGAATATTCTTGTGGACTGTTGTCAGTACATTTGTAGCATTGGCAATGCAAGACATTAGTGGAAAAATATTTACCTGGCTTCCATAAGAGACACAGAACTGGTGTTTTCAGCATATTCAGGATTCTCATGATGCTTGATGCCTTTGCAGGATATCCTGGAAGTACCTGTTTTTATGTGTTCGTGGACAGAGATAAATTGATAAAACTCAACAATGCAAGGTGTTACTTGGATTTGATTATTTTTTAGTTTTACTGCGTATCATTATTGCAGGAATTTTTGCATCACCTAGAATGATACTGAGCTATCTAACATTTTATATAAGCATGTATAAATATGTCTAAGTGTAGATAAAATGTAATATATATAATAGGCATACATGTGTGGTTTTTTTAATCCTAAGGGTTAGATGTTAAGGGCTTCCTAGGTGGGAATCTTAGCAGCTAGAACTTGTTTTTATTTGTTTCCACTAGATTCCTAATAGGTTATATTTTACATAAAAAGTGTGTTTCTGGTTTCTTTTTGCCTTCAGAAAGCATGCCCACAGTGTGTAACAATTCTCTTTTGACTTCCAGGGAAGAAAGTTTTCTATCCTGTGGTATTCAGCCTTTACAATCCTGCTATTGTCTATGCCAATCAAGATATACCACCTCCTGTGGAGCAGCAATTGGTGAGCAGCTTGATTTATTCTAGATAGAATTAGGTGAGCTTTGTATTAAAACAAAATGAAGTGTAATTTAATAGTCTGTTTGGGATATCTTATGACCTTTGGCACTGCGTATGTAAACAGTTTTCTCCATTATGGGCAAAGGACTTGGAAAAAACCTTGTCAAACAGTACAAAACTCATTCTTAGATAAACTTGGAGTTCCACCTAGTTTAAAAGAAGTAATTGCAATTAACCAAATGAAGTTGGTAGTTCTGATCTGCTGCTTATTCTGGCTTGGCAAGCCAATATTTTAGGAGGATGGTGGCATAGCAGGGCAGCAATTTTCATCTTATGTTTCAGCAAACAAAGCATTGGTGAAGGGCAAAAACCTGTGAATGATGTGTCCAGTATGACTCTCTTTCGAGAGATTGCATGGGTGAAATTGGGTGTTGCAGCTGCGACTTCTGGGATGGACAGGTTTAGAGGAGGAAAAGAAGAGAGAAGTATGAAGAAGAGCTGTATTAAAAAAAAACATAATAGCCCTCATTTCCTACGTTGTGTGCAAGCCAGAAGGAAGGTTTTGCATATAGTCTTGGATGATCACAGCTGAGAGAGGAGTGAGCCCCTGAGCTCTTCTGTTCACTTTTTTAAACTTAACAGTATGATGGTTGTTGACTTCAATCACAAAGCTTACTTTTGATGTCGTATCAGATCAAGAGACAAATGTGGCCTTAGAAAATGGGTAGGAAATGGAGTGTTTGGAACAGATGATTTATCCATGGACTAATTTACTGCTTGGTCCGGGCAGATACATATAAAATAGAGGTGGTGCAGCAGAAACTGCTGTGGAATCTGGAGTGAGGGTGAGTGGAATTGGAAGGCAGAGGGTGAAGTGAGCAGCAGGTCACTGGGAAGCCCCACATGAGTGCCTGACACAGAAATACAAGAAGTGTTATTATGCTCTGTCCTGCACTGAACAAATGATTGGAAGAGCTTAGCTTTCTGCAAAACCAAGTGCAATGTCCCTCCTTGGTTGTATTGTACATTTCAGAATTAATACTGGTTTAAAATTGCAGGTACACAAGAAGGATTCTGGTTTCTGGAGGGATTTTGGCTTTGGGATGACTTGTCAATATCGGACAGACTTTCTGACTGTCGGTAAGATGAGACTGAAGAAAAAAATTCTTTAAAAAGTGATTCTCTGGTCTTACCTAATTACAGGAAAGTAATATATTTATTTCTTGTATTATTTCCCCAAGCCCAGCAGTCAGACTTGCTTGACAAGTTTGACCAATGAGATAAATTAGCTTTTCTGGATTTTGATGTCCCATCTGTTGAGTGTATTAAAAGACACAGTAGTTTTAGTAAAAACATTTCATTCTAGAATTCTTTAAAATGCTGGGTTTTTTTGGGTTTTTTTTGGTACTTTGTGTTTGTCTGAAGCAAATGAATCACATTTAAGAAACATGTCACTCAAATAAGCCATTCACATAGACAAGAAGAATTCACATCCTTTCTTTTAAATAACCTAGAGAAATTGAATACAGTTCTTGGAGCCTTTAGCAATGTGCTTTGCCCCCCCTTGTGGCATGTTCTTAAAACCGAGAACAGCTTGGTGTACTTAGATGTGGAAGATGGTGGTGAGCACAGGCTGCCAGAATATGTAACAACACAGCCCTGCGTGCTTCTGGTGGCTTGAATGCAGGCTGATTGCTAATAGCAGTCATATTGCCATCTGTATGGCAGTGCTAAATGAGGACTTCATAATTCTGGAGTTTTGAAATTGTACAAGAGCCTGGGCTGCTCTTCATTGCGGTCCTTCCTGGAAAAACAAGAGAACTTAAAATGGTGAACCATGTTCCTTTCTTTAATCCAGCCTTTTCAATTGTGACCTGTGGAGTAATTGCTGGCATTGTTAGAGAGGATTTCTCATAGGGTGCTTCACTTTCCAGCTGCTAAAATCCATTATGCTTCCTAAAAATAATCCAAAAGCATAGCGAGTGAGGTTTGCCTACAGTTCTCTGCAGCTGTCACATGGGATGTCATGCATAATGCAATTTGGAGACACTGCTCTAAAGACCTTCTGAAGTCAGCAGATCTGTGTCCTGGGCAGTTTCCACCACAAATGATGTGGTATTCTTAAAGCTCCTGTCCCTCAAATGGGCATGGGAACCTTAGTTAATTGCTACAGAATTTCTGGAACGTCATGCCAGATCTGGTAACACATGAGGTGTAAAGTGTTGCTCTTGCCTTCAGTGTGGCCAGATAACGATTTCTGACGCTGTTTTTGTAGGGGGTTTTGACTTGGAAGTGAAAGGCTGGGGCGGCGAGGACGTTCACCTGTACAGGAAGTACCTGCACGGGGAGTTGATGGTGATCCGGACGCCGGTGCCCGGGCTGTTCCACCTGTGGCACGAGAAGCACTGCGCGGACGAGCTGACCCCCGAGCAGTACCGCATGTGCATCCAGTCCAAAGCCATGAACGAGGCGTCGCACTCGCACCTGGGCATGCTGGTGTTCCGCGAGGAGATCGAGGCGCACCTCCGCAAGCAGGCCTACAGGACTAACAGCGAGGCCGCGCGCTGAGGGCTCCCCCGCCCGCTTCTGACTGCGAATTCACAGTGAACCAGCATCCTTTTACGGCCTTAATTCAGCTCACAAATGCAGTGCCTCTCTTTTTCAGTGAAGAAGAGTTTAGAGCGTTTTTGGTTCTCGCGTTTGTTTTCTGAGTAGTCATTTGATAGGCTCTTACCTACGCATCTTGTGAGTTCAAGCACCTCAGCTAAATTGGACGGCATATGTAGTTCAAGGAAAGTGTCTTCAGTATCAACTGGAAAAATCTGTGGAATGTACAGTTCAACACTTTTCCACGTGGTACATTTCTGTTCTTATATTTGCATTCTTTTGAGAATTAAATGAAATAATCTTTCGTGTCTTGAGTATTTTCAGTCTGTATGGCTCACTGCACTGTGACTTTAGAAGGATACTATACTTAGACTCCGTTGTAGAAACAAGAGAAAGGTGTGGGAAAATAATCTCACGTATATGGACATGCTGACCAGTACAGCAGCTGTGGAGGGTGCTGATTCCACAGCAAGGGCTTGGTGCCACATTTGCTGTATTAACAGACATTGACATGGTTGAATAGAGAATAATTTGGGGAGGTGGGAATGAAAATCCTTTTAAGTGGAATTTTAGAGCATATAATGGAAGTTCATACTGTGAAGGAAATGCCACCTTCTTATTTCAGTGATAGATCAGACAAGTTGGGAACATTGCAGCTGGGTGTTTCTGTGCCTGCTCTTTTCCTACAGCAGATGCCATATCCCTTCTAGAAACTGAGCTGTGCTATTAAACTTGTTTGCTTAAATAATTTTGCCCCCACTCATTATTCCAAGGCCCTGCCTATGTATCTCATCTGTTAAGTTGAGCAACCACTTTTCATTCCCATACGAATTTATTAGAGGCCTGTTTGCTAGTGTGCCAGTACTTTCCTTGTGCATTCTTTTTCTTTGGGCATTTTCCTGACATGTTTTTGTAATGTGTCATGTACTCATAGTTGTTTCAGTGACTGAAAAAGCAAGTGCTATTACAGTCTATCTTTATACAATGCTCTTCATTACACTGATCATTCTGGCAGCCTCAGCCTTATTTCTTCACTTTTTCAGTTTGCAGATGTTTTAGGGTTTTGGTTCTTTTTCCTCTGGGTTTTCCTTTTGGGTTTGTGTTGGTTTTTTTTTTTCTTTTTTTTTTCTTTTTTTTTTGTTTTTGCTTATTGGGATTTTTGAGCATGTTTGGTCTCATTAGTGCCTTGTACAATGGCACTACTACTTTGGTACTTACCTTTTGGGTATTTCGGGAAGCATAAACAATTCAAACACAGGCAGGTCATTTTTCTCTGTATTGTCTTATACCATATGGCATGCCTCATTTTTTAATACATTTGTTTATAGAATGAATGCAGAGAATGCTAATTCGGTGGTTAAACCATTTGCATGGTTTCTGCTGAATTTAGATATTTGTTGAAAACCTTTCTCAAACCAGGTAATTAAGATCTGTTTATGGATTTATTTTGCTCAAGAATTCTGAAGGCAATTAAAGATTTAAATGATTGATTTCTGAATAGCAGATATGCTGTGCAAATAGTTCTGGGCACTGATCCTTTTTTATATGTATATAAAATTTGCCTTTATGTAACTTATTGTGGAGAACAGTGTACTGTATTGTACTTAGAGTGAAGAGAATGCATTGCAGGACTTCTTGCAATTTATATTCTCAATATAATAAATGGAATTTCTGCATTTTAGAAATTGTTTTAAGCTGTTTCTCTGAAATACATTTTTATAATAATATTGTACCGAGCATAACACAGTGGATTCAAATAATATTTGCAGTGAGAAATTCAGCCAGCTCAATTTTGCATCTCGGGTATCTACTCAGACCAGAGATGAGAGTTTGTTCCTTGAACAACTTAAATTTACACCAGATTTACCTTATCTTGTTTTTTGCTAACAAAAATTGTATGGATGAGGACAAGATGAAATACATTGGTATTATGACTTGGGGTGAAGATACAAGTGGGGCACTCTCCTGAGACTCCAGCCTTTAAAACATCAGGACAGCTGCTGCTGTCCTGGGTGCACATGAATAAACATCCAAAAATGCCTCTTGCTGACACCACTGCTGCTTGACACGCCCTGGAATGGACACAGAGGTCGGGCATAGGCCCAGCATTGCTGCACCTCAGCTCTCAGCACTCGGACGCTGCCCAGGAGGATCCAGTTGTCCCAGTTCTCATGTTTTGGAAGCATGGCAGAGTGCTGGCATCCAGGTGTCTCAGGTTCTGCTGTTTTCCACTGCGTGGTTGTGCTTAGCAGCAACAGCGAGGGAGATCAGTGTCAGCTGGCCCTGTCTGGGTGATGGAAACCGAGGCATGGTGTGGATGCTGGAAGACCAGGGTGAGGTCTGGAGATGAATGTAGTCACCAGGAACCACTTAGGAAGCTCTTTTCCATTCAATATTGAAAGGTGGAAGCAAATACATTGGAGTTAAAAGGAAGTCAGAACACTTGGAAATCTTTAGTATGTGTGTTGGGCAATATACACAAGTATTCCAAATGGCTGATGATTTGAGGATTCCTGAACTGAAAGGAGCCCTTGCAGACCTGGGGTTTCCCTTGTTGCAGTTCAGCTCCCTGCAATAGCCACCTGTGTGGGATGTTGCTGTGGCACACACCAGCTCAGCAGTTCTGTGCAGCCAGTGTTTGAGTGCACACATTGCTTTTGCTCTGCAGTGGAAGCAGAACAGAAATGGTGGGATATGCCTTTATTAAAAACAGCGATGGCAGTTGCCTGGGCGTGTTGAGCTGCTGACTGCCTTTGGGCACAGCCACACTGGGCTGCAAGCACGTGTTTGTGAGCAGTGGTGTCGCTGTGAGCTCTGACCCAGGGCTGGATGCTCTTTCCCAGGAAGATGGGTAACTCTGCCTTGGATGTGTTTCCTAAATTCATCCAAGAAAGGAAGTGAGTTAGTTGTGCTTCAAATACAAAACTCTCTTGCTTGGGAGCAAGGCCTGCTCTTAGCTTTTCCAAGGTGTGCTCTGCCTGCAGAGGAAGAATAAGCCTGACACTGGGGGGGTTTGTTTAGCTTGGGCTGCTGCTGGGGCACTGCAGAGGAGTGACAATATCAGGCTTCAGTCACAATCTGTGCCCAGGGTCGGTGCTTGGGTTACATGGCCGAGTGCTGGGCCTCATCCTCCTGTTTTGACAGATGCTGTTTACATAATACACTTTTTTTGAGCGGTGGTCCAAGTGATTTCCTGGAGGAGTCACTGTGTTTTAGTGCTGGAGTAGTAAATATAGTAACACTTATTTAAATAGGAACATGCTCCACTGAATCATGAATTAATTTTGATTCTGTTGCATGCTATTCACAGAAATTGTAACCTTTTCCAAGGAATTTGCAAGCTGTAGTCTTCCCTAGAGAGAAGTGTTCTTCATTAAAGAAAATCAAGATGAGATCAGCTCGGGGTGAACTTTTACTTTAGACCCTTGCAGGAACAAATGTGGGTTGTGCTTTTGAAATTGTTTAAAAATATGTTATGCAATAAGACCAGTAGATACCAATTCCAGCAAATACAGATGGAAAACACTTAGGGAAATAGTTCTGCATCTCCTGCATACAGAAGAAAATACTGGGATTTTTTATTTCTATAAAAGCCTTTGGACTCTTGAGATGCACACACCTATGAAAATCAAAACTTATTTGTAAACTATGTTCAAGAAGAGAATGGCATCAGGAGGGAAACAGAAGTGGTAGTTGAGCCCTAACCACTTGTATCTGAATGCAGACATTTAAATGGTTTTAGTTCATGCCAAAGTTTAAACTAGAACAAAATTTTTGCCTTGTCTGATCCATGAATGAAAGTAATAAAGCTTCAAATAACCTTTAAAATGGTGTTTCAGCATAAATTAGTAACTTATTCATTTATCAGTGTAATGATAAAAGCTTTCTGTGTATCAAAGATGAGTGTAGCTTTCATTTGCCTGTGGTCTTCTTGCCGAGTGTGACTTCCAAATACATCTTGAGATAAATCATTCAAATTTTACTCAGCTGTGAAGGAAAATGAGGATAATGAGCTTAAGCAGTGCTTAGTTTATGCCCTAACGATGCTCACCTTTTCCTTGTTAGGCCTGATTACAAACTAAAGGACTCCACCTGTTCTGACTGGAAAAGCCTCACAGGAAAGGAGACTTTGATAAAATAGTTTTTTTACATTTCTGTGATTGCAGTGGCTGTGCAGAGCTTTGCCTTTGTGATACAGCACAATTTTTCTGAAAGCCTGGCACTGAGCAGGACATTTGGGCTGTGTAGAGGCACACCTGGGAGCCATGCGAGCACCCACAGAGCCCCAGTGCTCTGGTTTCCCATGGCCCGGGCTCCAGCTGATGGGAGTTTCAGCATCATCACTGCCCGGGGAGCTGGAGATGGGCCAGCCCTGCTCGGGCAGTGGCAGAGACCTGCTGGGCCCTGCGGGGCTGCCCTGCCCCAGGTGCTGCCAATAACCCCGAGTGGGGTTAATTAGCCTGGGCAAGGGCTGCCTCCCCTCACTTGGGACCCGAAGCTGGCAGAGGAAGGTTCTCCTTCTATTCCAAGAAATGTGTCTTCTGGGTTTGAGTAAGGTGAGTGTTTTATTGTTATTTTTGAGTTTGCACTAGCAAGGGAGCAGCTTTTACCTTTTTGTTAGGAGACCTTTTTTGCTTCTGTAGAGGTTTGCCTGAAGAGCAGGGGTGGTAGCTGGGATCCCTGTGGAAGTGCTGTGCAGCAAAAGTACTTCTGACCTGCGGGTAGAATGTTAAATATATCCCTTTTCTGTTTAAGTCTAAGTGTTTGCATAAGGTTTTGTTAGAACACAGCTTTGTCTTGATTAGCTTAGTCTCTTCTAGGGTAAGGTAAAGAAATCCCTCTGAACTTGACGTTTGTGGTCATTTAACTGGTTTATTAGAGCTGCTCTAAATGTGTTTGTTATGTGGTGAGTTTTTCTGGAGCATTTTCAGTTCTTACAGCTTCAAGGTTGCCTTGTATGTAGGACTTGGACTTGTATGTAGCATGTCACTAAAGTGTCTTAACCTACGTCCTCTCAGCTTTCTCTATGAATGCTGTAAAAACCCTTTGCTGGTGCAAGGTAACTTAGCAAAGGGCTTTAGAATTTTTTTTCATGGGTAGAATACTTTGCATTTGTACTTGACTTGCAGGTAAAAGAGGACATTAACTCATTCCTCATTCATTTGTGGGGGTTTGTTTGGGAGTTTCTTTGTCGATTGGTTTGCCATTTGCACATCCATGGTGGGAAGATGTGCTCTTTGCCAGCACCAGTGAGTTCTCAGACCTGGCTCCTGCTGTGGCTTGGCAGCAAAGTCCCCGATGTGAAACAACAGGGAAGCTTCTCCTGTGAGGAGAAGGGGGGAAATGAGATTGTCCCAGGGTGATGGGTGTGGAGGAGACAGGAGGTGAAGCTGAACAGGGCTGTGGAAACACGCGCTAACAGGCACAGCATGGCTGCAGCCCTGTGAGAGCCTCAGCTCTTCGCAGATTTCCTGCAGCCTTATGCAAGCTTAAGTGGCTTCTTGCTGCCTTCATTACAATCCATGGGGAAAATGACTGTTAAAGGGGTAGTCTGAAGGAAAACTAAAACCCTTTGAGATTGCTTGATGCTCAGGAAGGCTCTGGAGAGCAGCTCTGAGACAGCTTTGGCTACTCTCAGGTTGTGAGTCACAGCTTTTCCTGGGGTGGCAGCTGGGATGGTGTTTTGGCCTGTAAATGCATCCATGGAACAGATGTTGGGGGGGTTGTGTTTGTGTGCTCTTGAAAATC